TTTTGTCTCTTGTTGTGGATGACTGCGTCAGGGCACAGGATGGATCCTATGTCCTCATGGACTCAAGAGTCGACGACGCCATCTACCACTACCGCCAACTGGGATCCATACCAGGTATGGAGGACCGCCAAAGGTCTGTATGGCGTGTTGATTGAGCAAGACCTGCTGGATCACATGGCCCAACTCAACCAGTTTTCACCGGAGTTCCAGCATTGGTCCAGACGGTGGAGGGCAACCTCGAAGGCTTTACCAAGAAACAAGCCAAGGGTGCATTTCTCGCCAGAAACCTGTACCACAACCTCCAGCGTCCATCTTTGGAGGGCTACCGCAACATGATCAGGACTGGTCAAATTCGCGACTGTCCCGTAAAGCTGGAGGACATCGATCGCGCGAATTAATTTTCGGGAGCGACATGGGCAAGGCCAAGGCTCTACTACACGCAGACGCCCGCCACCAGTGACCGACAGTATTCATGCTGTACCGGATGAGCTGGTGCACCACACAGGTTCCTGACCGGATGCATGGATGTGTTTATGTCTGTGAGATTGCCTTTCTGGCATTCACTGACTTGCAAATCCGACACCGCGAATCAGCCTACCTACAACAGAAAAGGAAACATTCTATTCCGCCATTGACAAGATTTTTGATCGGTACGGAAATAATATTTCAAGATCAAAGAAATACAGTGCGACCTGGAGTTCAAGAGCCTGATGGATCCTGTCAAGAACGACATGAGCTCAAGCTCAACCATGGAGCGGCTCAGACTCACAGTGGTCCCGCCGAGCGGAACATCCGAACCTTGAAGGAGCGCATCCGCGCAGCCTGGCATTCAACCCGTTCATGGTGATGCCAAAGGTGATGATTGTGGAATTGGTGTTACGATGTTAATTGTAAACTCAACCTCTTCCCGCGCTTGATGGAATCTCTAAAGTGTATCCTCCCAGGCAGATCCTGGAGGGTCGGACCACAAGCTACAAAGATATTCAGTACACCTTTGGGAGCTATTGTCTCGCTTCCAACGAACCAGACAAGCTCAATTCCATGGAGCCCCGGCGATTGGATTGCATCTATCTCCTCCATTGATGGACAAACACCAAGGTGGACACAGTGTGATGGACCTCGTCACCTTTGAGGTGATCACGCGACAGCATGTCCGCATCCTGCCGATGCCTGCTCAGTCATTGATCTGTCGAAAAGAAGGCATACGGTGAGGTAAGAAACCACTAATCTTTCACAACCGTGACTTTGTGGATTTTTTACCTGTAGGTTTGCCTGCAGGAGTGGATGGTGTCAATGGAAATGAAAGCTACCTCAAGTCTATGGAGACTCTTCGGACGAAGATTCAGTGGAATCCAGGAATCAGATGAAGATTCTGAGGATGGAACGCCCCAGGGCTAGTACCAAGGGCATCCAAACAGTATGCACAGACATTGACTCCGATGAAGAAGGAGAAGAGGGATTCCAAGGAATCCCAACAAGCACAAGTCCAGACAACCCTACAGTTGAAGAGACGGCACCAGCAGTGGATACCAATGATGGAAACCTCGCTGGACCAGCCAAGGCTTCCAAGCTCCTCGAGTTGGAATTCGACGCTCAGCTCGGATCGCTACAGCCGAAGCAAAGAAAGGAGTCACCTTCATCCAAGATGACGAAGCGAAGAAACCACTACTGTATGAGACAGAGACAAGCAAACATCTAGCTTTGTTCATGGACTCCTGTAATCACAGGAGTGCCACAAAGCAGAAGTCAAGGATGAGAGCAGCCACGCCCAACAACATCTTCTACCCAAGGGTCTGAAAGTGTGGGGCAACAAAGCCAGAAAGGCGGCGCTCAAAGAGATGGACCAGCTACACAGCAGAGTGTGTTTCAGTCCAGTCGACCCAAACAAATGCAGTGATTCTGAATTGAAAAAGGCACAAATGGCACTCATGTTTGTGAGGTGAGAAAAGGGATGGCACGGTCAGGCCCGTGCAGTCTACAATGGGAACCTACCAGGGTGTACCATCAGAAAGAAGATGCCAGAAGTCCAACAGTTTCACTTGAGGGTTTGATGTTATCCATGTGTGTCGATGCATCTGAAGATAGGGATGTTATGTCCCTGGATGTTCCCAATGCGTTCATCCAAACCCAATGCCAGAAGTCAAACAAGGTGAAGACAGGGTCCTCATGATCATTGAGGAACCCTTGCAGACTTACTTGTTGAAATAGACCCTGACACATATGCCTCTTTCCTGACATACAAGAAGGACGACCAGTCCTCTATGTCGTTGTGGAAAGAGCCATCTACGAATGGTTTTGGCAGCATTACTCTGTACAAGCTCTTCAGGAGCGACCTCGAAGAAATTGGATTTGTGTTCAACAGATACGATCCTTGTGTGGCCAACCGCATGATCGAGGGGTACCAACAACAATCCGATTTCATGTTGACGACCTAATGTCAAGCCACAGAATGAAGTTGGTGAAACCAAACTCTGGAATGGTTTAACGCTAGGTATGGAACCTATGGAGCCGTAAAGGCAACCCGTGGTCCCAAGCATGACTACTTGGGGATGACGGTGGATTTTTCCAACCCAGGAAAGGTTGTGATTGACATGATAGATTATGTCAAGAAAATGACTCAGAGTTTCCAGTGGACTTTGGGGCAATGAAGAAGGTACCAAGTGCAGCTCCTGCTGACCTATTAGCTCTGGTGATGGCACCATCCTGAATGACAAGAACAGAGAAACCTATCATACCTTTGCAGCCAAGCTGTTGTTCCTGTGCAAGCGTGCTCGACCAGATTGCAGACTCTCACTACTGTGTTATGCACTCGTGTCAGAAGCCCATCATCTGATGATTGGGACAAGTTGGTTCAAGGCCTCAAGTTTTTGGATCAGACGGCGCAGGACAAGTTGATCCTACACATTGATGACATACGCATCATCACTTGGTGGGGGACGCATCATTTGCAGTCCATCCTGATTACCGTTCCCATACAGGAGGAGTCATGTCCTTTGGAAGTGGTGCGGTGCTGTCTGTTGTCTGCGAAACAGAAATTGAATTCGAGGAGCAGCACGAAGCGGAATTGATTGGAGCTGACGATGTCATGTCGCCCATGTTGTGGGCAAAGTGTTCCTTGAAGAGCAGGGGATGTTGTGAAGACAAACATCCTCATGCAGGACAACAAAAGCACGATCATTCTTGCAGAGAATGGCAAAGGCAGTTCGGGCAAAAGAACTCGGGCTATCAACATTCGTTTCTTTTTTATTCATGACCAAATTAGAAAAGGCAACCTTAGAGTTGTGTATTGCCCAACCTTGGAGATGCGTGGAGATTTTTTCACGAAGCCCCTTCAGGGCAAGCTCTTCCACGAGCACAGGGCTTTCATCATGGGGCATCCACCCCTTGTTTGATTGCCTAATTTATCTTATTCATTCCACGGTAGCCACTTAGGGCACCGTGCAGGAGTGTGTTGGAGGAAACATACCTGACACCTCTTTACTATTGACTCGTGTATTAATCATCTAGTCCGGTTCGCATGTAAATTGATCATGCAAGGAACCAAGGGAGTTTTAGGTCTAAAGTGTTGCGGGGGTCCTTATATCCAATTTAATCACAAGAATTGCTATGCACCACCAGAAAATCCTCACTTTTGCTTTACAGCTTAATCTAAAACCAAATTACTCCCCAATAAGCTGCAGTATTACTAGCAAATAACAAACAGCACGTCACACTTCTGAGTCAATGCAGCAACATTTTGGAATGGGTAGTGTTTTTGCTACCGTAACTTTTGATGATGAGAATAGCCTCTTGATTCAAGTCATGTCAGGAAATGAAATTGATGATGATATGCCTACCGACGAATTAACAGAAGATGAGACTATCGAACGTGCAATGAGCAGGCGCAAGCTACGATTGGAGTACCCAGGCCTTTCGGCTATTAATTTCGAAATGCTCTTCAACATCTTCATGGAAGAGGTGGTGGGATGGGACTGGCGAAACAACAAACCAACGGATAAGGCGGGACTTTTTGGTACCTGCCTAGCTACTTCAGTGTCGTTCGAGGAACAAGGTAGAAAATCTGTGCACGGTCATCTTACTGCTTGGATCCGTGGATACAGGAAAGTTCAAGACAACATTTTCTTTTCTACGGACAAAAGTGAAACAAAGTACAGCAAAGCACTAGCAAGGAAGTACTGCGATCGATTGATTACCACCGAGTTTTCTCTACCAAGAAACGAACTTTGGTACGAGCGTTCGACCACACATGCACCGTTCCAAAGGAGAACAGAATGGTTCCCAAAGTAGTTGGTGATCAACAGTTACGGAACCTACGCCATAAACAAGGGTACAAGGCGACGAAGGGAAAGTTTGCATACTGCATTCATTGTTCAAAAGAATACACATACGAGGATCTCGTGAACTCATACATCCGTTTTAAGGTGCACTTGGAACATATTGATGAAGTGCCTGACCTTGAAGAAGAACAGAATGAGAATTCTACCAACGACACCGAACGAGAGAAACAGAAGTCCCGGATTCCTCGTGCAAGAATGCTATCTGAAATCATCCAGTTTCAAAAGAAAAGAAACGTGTCAGTGGATGAAACACCTGTCACATGTATCAACGGGAATTAACAGCATCATATGTCCTCACATGTTAAAGGTTGTTTCAAATGCAAGGAAGGGCACATGTATGTGGGCAGAATTGTGAATGTCGTTTCCGACTCCCCGATTGACCACGTGCAAAGTCTACCGTGAAAGAGTTGTCGAAACCAAAAAGCTGGTTTCAATGGACTGGTAAAAAGAAAGAGCATCCAATGGTAGCATTCTTACCACAGCGCAATCAATTTTTATCTCTTCCAGAATGTGGCTTGCAGGGCTGTTTCTGAATCAAAGTTTTCTTGCAACAGCAACCTATCTCTGGTAACTCCTGGGCCCTTGGGGCAATATCAATTCAAATACACCACGAAATGTACACAGAAACAGGACCGCGCTGAGTATGGAGAAGTTGAAGAAACCATGAAAAAGCTCGGTCCAGGTAGCAGGAAGTACGAAGATGACACCCAAGAAGCAACAAGACTGATACGTCGAGCGGCGTTTGCGCATAACTCCACGAACATCGTTGGTGCACCGATGGCTAGTTTCTTGTTGCGCAATCACCAACGTTTTTACTTCTCCCATGAGTTCGTATATTGCCCTCTGAAGGACATATTGAGGTTGCTGAACAAAGAAGCAATCACAGTGGATGCAAAGCTGTCGTCGGACGGAAGTCTGTTCTTCGAGAATCAAGCATTTCATTATCTCTGTCGCAGCACAGACCTGGAGTCCTTGTCAGTTCGTCAATTTTATGAAGGTTACTACTTTGCATGGGACATGACAAAGGCGAAAAAGAAGCGTAAGAGGAACGGCGAAAAGACATTCTGGCGGTTCGAGAACACGGATCATTTCATCCATCCATCATCGAAAGCAATTGAAGAAGAAGAAAGGGACGTATGGATTGCCCAGTCAATGTGCTGTGAAATCGGATAAGAACAAATTGATCAAGGTTACTCAGTGGGATTTTCCAGACACAAGCCTTTTTCGAGCGAACATGCTTACGTGTCCACAGGATCAAATCAGTATCAAAATGGAACAGTACAGCCAGAGCGCTTTGTCCCTACTCATGCCCTTTCGATCCCAATCTGATTTTGTTCCTATCGGGTACAGTGGTCGGAAACCCTACACGAATAAACTCAGAGAAGTGTACAATGATGATGAAACGAAACGTCAACAAGATGACATGCCAACCGTCTTCACCGATGAAAACATTCGATTCCTTCAAAACTTACAAGACTGTGCACACAACTTCACACGGCACAAAGTGTCAACGATGACCTGCAATCTGTAACGGAAGCATATTGTCCACCAGACTGTGTCCGAGTGCAAGAGCCAGATGATGATTCAGATGAAGAAGAAGGATCCGACGACATTCCTTTTCCTAGTTTCTTCAATCAGCTCGACGAAGATGTGACAGATGAAGAGTTCATGTTCCTTGAAGCCACGATGCAGGGGTACTCGTTTGATAGCATCATGCTTAAACGGAAGAAGCAAACGGAAGATGCTGACACGGTGAAGCTACCAATTCCTACCAATGATTGCGAAGACCCATTGGGAGCGGAAGGAGACTTTGTTGAGTATACTGTTCACATACAAAGTCATACCGTCGCGGACGCAACCGGTGCCGGAATAGGCCATGGTCAAAAGCCATTTCACATTCGTGATATTGTGGAGGTTCTGTTGACTAAGACTACCGCACGAGCAAGGGAAGCAATTTTTGAATACAACAAAGGAGCGAAGGTGCATGAAGCAAACGGATCTATCGCTAGTATCTTGGAATGGGCGAGTGCAGGAAAACTTGACCCGCTACAACGGCGTGCGTTCGAGGCCATTATATCGGCCTTTCTGTTGACATTCTACGATGAGGTGGTAGACGAGGAGAACGATGGCTTAATTGAAGTCACTGTGATCGAGAAGTATCGCAATACGAAGAAAAACCTGAAACGATTGAAAGGAGGTGAAGGAACCCAGCTCATATGTCTTGTCCACGGTCCTGGAGGCAGTGGCAAAACTACCGTGATCAACCTTACCACAGCCTACGCACGCGAATTCTGTAAACTGATTGGCTCTGAATTCACTTCACGAACGATAGTTATTACAGCCTTATCAGGCGTAGCCGCTACGTTACTTCACGGTGAGACAACACACAGCGCTATTGGGATAAACCGGAGAACAGTCGAGGATGTTGACTTCTTACAAGGATGGGACGGAACAAGATCGGTGATCATTGACGAAGTTTCATTTGCGTGCGAAGGCCATATCAACAAGATTTACAAGAACCTTCAAGACATCAAGGGAAACACATTCAAGTCTTTCGGAGGACTTAACATGGTCTTCGCGGGAGACTTCTCACAGTTAACGCCACCCAAACGAGATCCCCTTTACAAACGAGAATGCGCTGCTTTTCAAGGTACTCTTAATGCGTATATCGAGTTGGATGGAATGCATCGATTTGGAAATGATATTCCTTGGGGCGAAAGACTTAAACGTTTTCGAGCGGGGAAGCCAACCAAGGATGACATAATGTACATCAACCATCACTGGACCTCTGTGGAAACTCGAGTCGTGCCACCGATCGTCTCCTAAATCCTTTTGATCGTCTCCTATTTAATGGATTTCGTCTCCTAAAATAGGAGACGAAATGGATCGTCTCTTAAATCTTTCGTCTCCTCTTAAATCGTCTCCTATTTTCAACGGATCGTCTCCTATTCTCAACGGATCATCTCCTAAGTGCACCATGTAAACTGTATGGTATCGTCTCCTAAATCTTTCGGATCATCTCCTATTTCGAAACGATCGTCTCTTAATTGGAATGTCTCCTACTGAATCGTCTCCTAAATATAGGAGACGATTGCTTTCGTCTCTTAAATCATTTTGATCGTCTCCTATGCCTCGGTGTATCGTCGCTTAAGTAATTTGCCACGAATGACGTTTCCACAGAGGTCCTGTGTCGTGTCCAAGAACCATAAACCGAACTCCAACATTCAAGTTGCATGCCACTATAATTGGGAGCGAGACATGGTCAACACTACAGTTTTCGAGCAATTCTGTGTCGCAAATGCTCCTGCGGATGCAGACGATGTTTACATGGGGGCAATTATGATTTTGATGGACAGCATTGAAATGTACAATGATCACAAGCAGTACGTTCCAGTAACAAGCAACCGCATCAAGAAACACTTCTGGACAACATGTGGCGAATCGGATTGTGACATGGACAACAGACGTGTTGATCCGGCATTGAAGATGTACTACAACTGCCCTCTGATGCTGACAAAGAATGAAGACGTACCGAATGGACAGGCAAACGGTTCGAGAGTGTTCCTATGCAAGGTACATATAAAGCCCAGAGAACAGCCTTTCATCATTAAACTCCATTGCGGTGTCAGAATCCGTGTCTTCCGTGTCACCCAAATTGACAGAATCACAGTAAAACACGAGATGAAAGACATGTTGCCAAGATGTTTCGATGTCAAGACACACGGAGTGTCCTTCAAGTGCAAGATGAAAATCGAAAAGGAAAAGATTGAGGTTCGCATGAAAGGAATCCAGTTTCCTCTTGTTAGCAATTCAGCGACGACAGGACACAAGTTGCAGGGATACACAGCATCGCAACTGTTGGTGTGGAACTGGCACTATGCAGATAATTGGGTTTACGTGGTACTTTCAAGAGTAAGAGAAATGAAAGGCCTCTTCTTGCGAAAACCACTGTCGCTCGATTTAACAAAGTACCAGATGCCAGACGAAATGGTGCATATGCTGGAAACTTTCAGTCGCTACATTCCCTTCGATTCTGTTTCCGCCGACAATTACGATGAAATGTTACAGTCCGAAGCAGCATTCAATTAACCAATTCCAAATAACTTATACAATTTCGTACTCTGATGTGTTCCAACATTGTTCCTCGGGTTTTGAACTTCAATGTACATGACAGAAGTTGACGTATTCCTCGTTCCGTTTCCATGACAGTTACTGGAACGTTAACGGTTTCGGTGATGGTACCGGTAACGGTTACAGTCGCGTTACCGTATGTGCACGCACACACCTATACCGACGTCAAAACCGTTAAATACAAGTTTGGTACTTACAGATACACATGACCGTTGATTCTGCAACTGAAGTGCGGGTACACTATTTTACACAGTAAACGCGAGCGAATCGATTTCGGAGTGCAACTGAGGGGGTAACCAAAAGGGGCGTCGTCTCGAGGAGACGTAATTCGGCTTTTTTTCAGCTTTCGTCTCCTGTTTCCTCAGTTTGCTGGCTACTTGGATCCATATGCAATTCAGCCATTGCAGCCAGCTACGGTACCGTAGGCAGAGAGTTACATCGATCCGTGACAGTGGCAACAGTACCGAACACACTCAGGTTCCGCTTTACTGGCTACACTCCGTTACCGGTACCTTTCATTGGATCCTTATGACGAATACATGCACAACTGAACATTGTCAATCCAGCCATCGTAGCCAACTACCGTAGAGTTCATCGATCAGTGACAGTGGCAACAGTACCGAACACACTCAGGTTCGACTTTGCTCGCTGCACTCCGTTACCTCGCATTGAATCCTTATGACGAATACACGCACAACCAAATATTGTCAATCCAGCCATCGTAGCCAGCTACCGTAGAGTACATCGATCAGTGACAGTGGCAACAGTACCGAACACACTCAGGTTCGACTTTGCTCGCTGCACTTGGTTACCTCGCATTGGATCCTTATGACGAATACATGCACAACCGAACATTATGAATCCAGCCATTGTAGCCGGCAGCAGTATAGCTACATCCACGACAGTGGCAACAGTACCGAAAGTTCGGCTTTGCTCGCTACGGTTACCTGTACTTCGCATTGGATCCTTATGACGAATACATGCACAACTGAATATTGTCAATCCAGCCATTGTAGCCGGCTGCCGTACAGTTACATCGGCGACAGTGGCAACAGTACCAAACACACTTAGGTTCCACTTTACTGGCTACACTCCATTACCGGTACCTTGCATTGGATCCTTATGACGAATACATGCACAACCGAATATTGTCAATCCAGCCATTGTAGCAAGTTTCCGTAGAGCTACATCAATCGGTGACAGTGGCAACAGTACCGAACACACTCATGTTCGGTTTTGCTCGCTACGCTCCATTGCCTCACCATTACAATGAATACAGGAATATTGTCAATCCAGGCTCCACCAAGTCCTCGACGACCGACTTGTGCATACAGGAAAATGGGTACCGACACAGGAATCACCAACCAAACACTATGAAAAAACACTGGAGGGATGAATCCAGTAGTAGGATCCACTTTCTTGGTGTGTGTTGTCGCGTAGCCTCCTCTTGTTGCCTTTCAATGACTCGACGACGATCCGTTCAGACTGTTGGTAGGGCTGGAGTTAACAGAACCTCCTCTTGTTCTCCGGAGCGATCTCCTCTCTTGTTGTTATCCGGAGCGACCGTTCGTTCATTCCACCTCGACAATGGGATTTCCTCGGCCGTCAGCAGTGCAGCAGAGAAAACAACAAATAGATATGAGTTTTGTTTTCTGTGCTCAACAGCAGACGACCGGAGACTTACTCTTGTTTTTCAAATTGCACCAACTTGGCCATCATGGGCCGAGAACTGACTGCCATCCCATGGTCCACAGGATTCAATGAGGGATGGCTTTCGAATCTGCACCGGAGATAGACGGCTTGAGTGAGGCTTGAATAACAGAGATAATAGAGGTGCGACCGATCGATTCGATTCGAATAATTTATTAAAAACAACTCACCTGTTGACGGCCGAGCTTGGAATTCTCTCCCGAATACCATAGAAATGAATGAGGGAGAGAAGTCAGCGCTGTACCTTCAATTAACACTCTTGATAATAGGAAAAATAACGAAGTTTTATTTTAAAGGCTACACCTCGTCAGACGATCCGCTGAACGGTGCCATGACGAATCCATATACCTCAGGCGCACGAGGGCGCACACTTAGGATGGGCCTAGTGTAAGCCCGATCGATCGATCGATCCTCCTACCGGTACCGGTAGCTCCTGCACCTACCACCGATATACCACTGTTGTCGGCCAAGCTTGGATTTCTCTCCTGTTTACCATAGGAATACAATGTGGGAGAGAAGTCAGTGATGTGCCTTCAATGATATCGATGGACCAAACTCAATCAGTTTATCCTTAACCTTAGAAACTTCAACGGTCATTTTTTCCACGAATCGATCTATTTTTGTCAAACGAGAACCTGTTACTTACGGATACACATGACCGTTGATTCTGCAACTGAAGTGCGGCTACTCTATTTCACACAGTAAACGCCAGCAAATCGGTTCCAGAGTGCAACTGAGGGCGTAACCAAAAGGAGCGTCGTCTCAGGAGACGTAATTTGATTTTTTTCAGCGTTCGTCTCTTGATTCCTTAGTTCCAGCTCAGCTACCTCGTGTTGGATCCATATGACGAATACATGCACAACTGAATATTGTCAATCCAGCCATTGTAGCCGGCTGCCGTATAGTTACATCGGTGACAGTGGCAACAGTACCAAACACACTCAGGTTCGGCTTTGCTTGCTACACTCCGGTACAGGTACCTCGCATTGGATCCTTATAACGAATACATGCACAACCGAATATTGTCAATCCAGCAAATGTAGTCGGCTACACACCGTATAGTTACATCGGCGACAGTGGCAACAGTACCGAACACACTCAGGTTCGGCTTTGCTTGCTACACTCCGGTACAGGTACCTCGCATTGGATCCTTATGACGAGAACGGGCACAACCGAATGTTGTTAATCCAGGAAATGTAGTCGGCTACACACCGTATAGTTACATCGGCAACAGTGGCAACAGTACCAAACACACTCAGGTTCGGCTTTGCTGGCTACACTCCGGTACAAGTACCTTGTATTGGATCCTTATGACGAGTACGTGCACAATCGAATATTGTCAATCCAGGAAATGTAGTCGGCTACACACCGTATAGTTACATTGGCGACAGTGGCTACACTCCAGTACAGGTACCTCGTATTGGATCCTTATGACGAATACATGCACAACCGAATGTTGTCAATCCAGCCTTCTTGTAGCCGGCTGCCGTATAGTTACATCGGCGACAGTGGCAACAGTACCGAACACACTCAGGTTCGGCTTTGCTCGCTACACTCCGGTACAGGTACCTCGCATTGGACCTTTATGACAAATATATACACAACCGAATATTGTCAATCCTATTGATCTATAAGGTGTCTATCTAATGAAAGGAGTGGTCTATTGGTCGGTTATCGATGATCTATTATCTTACGAGTTATCTATCTATCATTATCGTACGAAAGAAGCAAGTCGTTCGCCCGAGGACTTCTGCGTACAGGAAAGTAGGTACCGACACATGAATCACCAACCAAACACTAGGAAATATCACTGAAGGGGTGAATGCAGTAGGAGTATCAACTCTCTTGTGTGTTGTCGTGCAGCCTCCTCTTGTTGCCATTCAATGACTCGAAGACGATCCGTTCAGACTGTTGGTAGGGCTGGAGTTAACAGTCTCCTCCGTAGTGGTAGCCTCTCCTCTTCTTGTTCTCCGGCGCGACCGATCGTTCCTTCGAAAGTGGGATTTCCTCGGCCGTCAGCAGTACAGCAGAGAAAACAACAAATAGATATGAGTTTTGTTTTCTGTGCTCAACTGCAGACGACCGGAGACATACTCTTGTTTTTCAAATTGCACCAACTTGGCCGTCATAGGCCGAGAACTGACTGCCATCCCATGGTCCATAGGATTCAATGAGGGATGGCTTTCACTTCTGCACCGGAGACGGTCGGCTTGAGTGAGGCTTGGATAACAGATAATAGAGGTGCGATCGATCGTTTCGAATAATTAAAACAACTCACCTGTTGACGGCCGAGCTTGGAATTCTCTCCGGTTTACCATAGAAATCCAATGAGGGAGAGAAGTCAGCGCTGCACCTTCAATAACACTCTTTGATAATAGGCTTACCTCGTGTCATTCGATTGATCGATTAAATAAAGAACTCCTCCTGCCGGTAGCTACCAGCCACGGTTGTCGGTCAAGCTTGGATTTACCTCCTGTTTACCATAGGAGTACAATGAGGGAGAGAAGTTAGTGCTGCGCCTTCAATAATGGACTTGCGACCAAGCAAGTGAACAGATCGGCAGCATGCAGAGGTGCGAGGATAGATTGAGGCAGTACCTGGTACCAGTACGGTAGGAGTACCGGTACTGATTAACTTTAACCTTAGTAACTTCAACGGTTCCTTTATCCACGAATCGATCTATTTTTATCGAACGAGAACCTGTTACTTATGGATACACATGACCGTTGATTCTGCAACTGAAGTGCGGGTACACTAATTTACACAGTAAACGCGAGCGAATCGATTTCAGAGTGCAACTGAGGGGGTAACCTAAAGGAGCGTGGTCTCAGGAGACGTAACATGCACATGTATGGTCATACTGGTACCACCGGTGCTCAGCTAGCTCCTGCACTAATACATGTACAAGTACTAGCTAGTACTTGTCATTGAGGTTCAGAAGGACTGACATCTCCTCACCTCTCTATAGAAGTGGATCCGATTCAAGGAGGCCCACAGCGACTATGTTATTCAGGTCAACGCAGGCAGTGCTGCTTTGTATCATCAAGAATGCTTTCAATCGTCCCCCTTCAGCCGTCGAGGGAGAACACCAAGTTTTTATTTTGAAAGAAGCCCGGTCTTGTGGATTCGATTCGATTCGATTCGATTCGATTCGATTCAATATCATTCAAGGAGGCACATAGCTGTAGGGACTATTTATTTTATTTCAGGTCAACACAAGGCAGTGCTGCTTTGTATTGTATATTGCTTCTTGACAAGCAAGAATGCTTTCAATGGCTCGTTCACATTCAGCGGTCGAGGAAGAACACCGAGTTTATATAAAAGAAACATGATATTAGTAGAGACTTCCTCTCGCTTCCTTTTGATGCTTTCTAGCTTTCTAGCTAGTCTGCCTGCCTAAAACTTGCTTCGCGCGCTGAAACACACCGGTATCATCCCCTGTCCGCCACTGTAGATAATTCCCAAATTGCACCGTCCGAGGTTGTTTCCAGCGAGAGATGCAGCTGAGGTTTTCTCCAGCGGAAGATCCGCCTGTAAGGTGGTGGACGTCTAACTACATGTACTCTAGTACATGAGCTAGTACTAGTACATGTATGTATGGATGTACGGACTATCCAACAGCTCTACCAAACGTGAAGTTCGAAGGTCAGGCCGCACAGGATCCCAAAGCATTGTCCCGCGTCCCCCCACCCGGGGGCTGCCACCCACTAGTACTAGCTAGTACCGGTACTAGTACTGTACGTGGTAGCTCCCTGACTGATGGTGACACTCGTGTTCCGAGGGAAGTCTTAGTGGTGAGTAGTGGCGAGCACATGATGTATGTAGCCGTGCGGCGTGCGGCAATATGCATGCCGAGAAGGTGCATTCAACTTTAATTAGATTTTTTTCTGGGGAATAGAAGAGCGATGTCCCACCGACCACCGACTGACCTTTGCTTACTGGTGTCTTTAATCCCTAATGCGATGTCCGAGTTTCAGAAAGATAAACAGGGTACCTGCTGTATTATTGATAGTAAACACTCCGAAACTCCGACACTCCGAGTACTTACTTGCTTTATAGAAGAGTACTGCACTTAGAAATTGCCGGTAGATCTTTTCGCCCAATCCCAGTTTTCCTCCAGTATTATTAATTCCCCAGCTCCAACAAGCACATATTCAATCATGAGTCACGAATTCAGACCTTCTTTAGAAGTACTGCTACTATTAATAGTACGGGTACCGGTACCGGTACCGGAAAATGGGCTCTTTGGCAATTGGATAATAGCATACTGACTAGTGATTCGATTCTGAGAGTTGGGGGAATTACTCGAGTTTGGAACAAGGTTCATTTCATCGTTCATCTTTCTGAAATTAGAAAGCGTGAAGTCCCAAGAAGAACAAGTTGGATCTTCCAGGAGAACCTCCGGCGAACTTCTAAGTGCCGTTCTCAATGGGGGAAGTCGAGGAGTTCGGCTGTGATTGGTCGAATTCGGCTACCACCAAACGCCAAACCACCAAAGATTCAGCAAAGAGTGGGAGGGAGTGGCCAGCTATGCGCATTGTGTATGACATTCTGTTTGGCTGGTACTCAACTAACTTTTTAAAAAAACTCCGTGGCACTGGAGCAGTACAGTAGTATGGAAATGCCAGTAGGAAATTAGGATGAAAAGATTGCGATCTCTTCGGCATCACCAGGACCTTATGACATACTTCCTTTGGCCAGTGGCCAGTGGTTAGCCTATGTGCTTGGTGGTTTTGCATTCCATTTCATCTTTATTAGCCCCATTGCCTTGATACACACAACTTGCTTGTATTGTGGGCGCTTGCTCTCTCCTACGATACGGTAGCACAAAGTGACTGAACTCAAAAGTAGAAGTACTAGTACTCCTCTCTGCTGTCTCTGATATTGCCGGGCCTGCAGCGCTGAAGTAGACTCTAGACTAGTTAGACTACTATTATAGTACTGGACTGAGCATCATGTCGTCCAAAGACACGGAAAGCTCAAGTGAGGCAAAGCAAGAAGCGACTCATACAAGTGTTGATAATAATATGGATGCTGATGATGATCAGAAGAAAGCAGAGTCCGGTTTCATCCATTCTGATACTAGTAACAACCTTAAGGTCGATGAGATGGAGGCGGCTTGGGATGTGAAGAACGATATTGGAGTGGCCAAGGGACAGAATCTGATGAAGCATGGAGATGACAACAACAAAGGCAGCAAAACTTGCCTGTTAAAAGATGGTACTATCAGCAAGCAGCAGCACGATGGACTTTTATTAACATCCGGGCATCCAGCAGAAGACCTGACTAGGTTGTTTGAGCACGAAATCAGTCCACTACCGCAACGGAGGCAACGAGAGGAATCATTGCCGGGCGCGTTTGCCATTGTTGGAGGGATCCAGCATGATCGAAGCCTGACGTTACCCCGTTATAATAGCAGCGACGAAATCGAGGAGTTGGAGGAACAACAACAACAAGGCAATGACGAATTATCCCCGCCTCCGTTGGAAGCCGCGGAATCTTCGGGGGTGGTCTCCTGGGCCGCCATTATTGTTTCGGATGACTCCTCGACAACCGCAGACGACGATGTGGAATTGCAACCCGAGTCGCACTCCGCAACAAGAGACCAGTCACAATCAGAGCAAGCCCCTTCCCAACAACAACAGCAGCATCCACTGGAACCCAGTGGTCCGCACAACATTGTCTTGCTCGATGATGATCAAGTCCGAAAGGACGATCCTCAAACATCTTGCACATCACCCTTGACACAACGACAAAGCATTCTGGTATTGATGCTGACGCTGATGCTTCTGGTCATCATTGTCGTTCTGATTGTAGTCATTGTCCTCTTGGGCACTGGGAGCACGGAAGATCTCTTTTCTTTGTTGCCTCCTCCCGCAACCTCTACGAGCATGACTCCCACAACGACGCCACCTCCACAACTGTCCAAGCTGGAAGAGATTCGACAACGGGGATACCTCAAGTGTTCCTATCGATACTTGCCTGGAATGTTGTTCCGCAACGAATCGACTGGGATTGTATCTGGATTCAAATCCGTCGCGGTAAGTCTTTCTTGCTCACTGTATAGTACATGTACATGTAGTTGTCGCCATTCGCCACTCACCACTACCGTACCCCACCCACCCAACCATTGGAAAAAGTGCACCGCCATTGCCGCTGCCATTTGGGGTCCCAACAATCCGGACTCACGCATTGAATACGTGGAAGGATGGGGCAATCCGGTCGATATAGATCCAGCGGGTACAACCCATACGATGAAGCGAGATACGCGGAGACAGGTAAGCCATTCGATGCGATACGAGTTAGTTGCTGACATGTCCGTCTGTCGTTGGATTTGATTCCGATCGCCTATTTGTTGTACTTACGTTGGTTCTTCATTTTGCGTTAATTGTTCAGAACGGACTTGCCTTTGCGGCTCCCTACTTTTACGACGGACTCCGCGTCCTTGGGGATCCATTCTTTGTAGCGTGCTTGGAAGACGAAGGCTTTAAGCACGTCGAAGAATGCGAGGACATTCGAATTTGTGTCGGAGATCAGAGCAGTCACCTGGCATTTGCTCTTACCGTGCTACCGCGACGAATGTTGCTTCCACAACAATCCCATTTGGAAGTTATCACTGGCTTTATTGAACACACATGCAACGTGTTTCTGTACGAAAATGTGGGAGAACAGACAATGCAAGACTTGGGAATGGAGGAAGGACGGCCGTTTGCCGTGAGTGATACGATCTTTGCCAGAGAACCCTTGGCATGGACCATCGACGACGGAGATGCACAGTGGGGCGATTTCGTCAACATGATACTCCAGTCCCTGTTGGTGGCGGAAAAAGAGGGACTCACACGGTCTACTGCCAAGCAATTTCCAACTACGGAAGTGTTTGGGTCATCCTATAGATTCATGTTCCAACATGCGTTGCAAGCCGTTGGAAACTATGGCGAGATTCATGAGCGCTTTTTGGAACCAGTCATGCCGAGGGCGCCCATCAATCAACTGAACAACGGAAGCACTGGTCTGCTGTATTCCCATCCCATTGGAATGTTCTCGTCGACGACGGCTGACGAGGAAAGTGTGCTGGGACCTCGACTTGAGAACATTCTCAGCCGCGGGCGCTTGCGTTGCGGGGTACGATTCGGTCGTCCCGGTTTTGCTGTGCAACACGCTGATACTACTAGTGTGGGGATGGACACCGACCTTTGTCGAGCAATCGCAGCTAGTTTGTTTCATGGCAACACGGACGCTGTCGATTTCATCCAAGTAGACGAGTCTTCTGATGGATACAGAGGGCTGCGAGATGGCGAGTTAGATGTCTTGGCCGGGGCTACCTGGAACATGGAAAACGATGTCCGAGAACCAACCACTGATCTTGGCTTTGCTTTCAGCCAGCCATACTTCTATGGATACAGTGAACAAGAGGACAACTTTTGCCTTGCTACGATGCAAGATGATCAAGACTTCTCGGCGTACGTTTACTGGGTGGTATCAGCTATCGTTTATGCGGAAGAACAATCGATTGGGCAGCTATCACACAATGGCATGCCGCTCATCCCCATGTATGGCAAGAAGATGCAACGCATGTTTCGAGATGCTGTCTTTGGAGTAGGCAACTATGCAGAGATCTATTCAAGAAACGTGGAAGGGGTGATTCCCAGATCGGGAAGAAACCTGTTGAATCCCACCCAACACTCTGGGCCCCAGCACTACCCAATACCCGGGATGATATGAGATTTCACGTCGTTGGCCTGTGCGCAACAATGTAGATCTCTATTCACTGGGTTGCTGCTCGAAGGACTCGGCAGGAAATGTACAAAAGACGCATCCTGTCGTCCAAGGCTTCTGTACTAGTATGGAGGCCGGAGCTCTCGGTAAACATTCAGAATCTGGCTTCTGCCATGAAAATAATGTACATACGTATATACGCATAAGGAAGTCTTATCGATTTAGTACGACTGTTGTACGGCAGTATTGCTATTGCAGATTTCGAGGCTGAAAGATAATTTTGCATATCGACAAGAAGAACTCGAGAAACTTGGAAGTGGGGCGTGTTCCGTTCTGGTTTCCACCCAAAGCTATCCGATGATTCGATTCGATTCCATCGCACAGCGGTCACCTTGGATGAGGGTTGTTTCGAAGCAGGAGCACAGCCTTGGCTACCGGCTACCGGCAACTATCATTGATCAGGTGATGAGGATTGTCTAGCTAGAACAACCAGGCAGCGAAATGAGCCAGGTGTTCTGAGCCTTCTGTGTCGATCAAGCGTGTGACACAGGTGCGCCACAAGAATCAAAGCAAGACATCTTCTCCCTTGTTCCTTCACCGATATCTAGTTGGCTTGCGGACTGCTCCATCTTGTTTTGAATGGTTCGAAGTGGGGGCGCTGTCCCATCGTGAACTGGAGCTCCCCATGCTGGAAAAGCTGGAGTTCCCAAAGTCAGACATCACCTCTGATGCAGTGGCAGGAGATCCCCGCGCATTATCAGATACTAAGATTGGCGTGGGGGCGCTATCATCGAGCAACCTGCTAAAGTACATTCGCAAAGGGTCAGTCATCTGTAATATAAGATGCTATCTTATTTTGACATACGATGCAACCTTATTTTGAAAGTTTGTGTGCTCTCCGTAATGGTTGGTGTTGCTAGCATGCTGAATGATTGAGGCCCAATCGTGGTTGCATTCCAAGCTTCAGGAAGTCATCTTTATGAAGGTAGTTTTGGTAAATATTGTTGCATTGTATTTGTATCAATAATTATGTTTAGTTCCTCAGCTACACGAATGTCTTCCGGTCGAATCGGGTGACGGTCTTATCGTAGATATTCGAGCAAAGTTTGGACGAAGTGTGAATGGTTGAATCGAGTCGAATCAATCAATCTAATCACAGATCGTCACATCGCGCACACATACCGTTACATGGTGTAGTTTGATCTTGTTCCGCAATAATGGAGCCTCCATTGCAACAGAATTCTCTCTTGACAACTAGGTTTCTGTTGATCGTTCCTCCATCCAAAGGAATGATGAATCGAACCTCTTCTTTTGTTGCTTCCGTCATAATCACTGCCACAGCCCTGCCAGACGGTCGTCGTCTTTTCGCTTGGAATGGCATGGGCCAAACCCTGTAGAGCTCCATGGGATAGAGTGCCCCGTGAACCAATTCCCCGTTGGTACATGCTATGGTTTTAATGAGTGCCAAGTCTGTCTCTACATACGGCCGGAATGGGGTAGATGGGAATCTCCTCCTCCAAGTTTTAGTGGCCATTATCATCATTTTTCTCTGCAGGAAAGACACTATTGGAACCTCGAGCAGGGTCCATCCATTGAATGGATAGGTAGGCCGTTCATCCGCCAAAAACTCCACGTTGGTGGGAAGTAACACCCATAAACTCGAACTGGTTGCTAGTTTATCAGTGTTGAGTAATCTCCAAAACGAGGCAAACCAGGATGGGACGTCTTCCACTGAGGGTAGAAAGATTCAGCGCACTTTGAAAGTGATAACCATTGCAGAAGCATCCACAAAACGGATGTCATTGTACCGTAGCGAAGAAAAGAAAACGAGGAGGCTGTTGTGGAGAAGGTTGTTGGTTGTGGGTTGCTTGCTGATCTGTACCGTGAGTTCAGGAAAGCTCTGATTAGATTTCAGCCAGTAGGGTTGTTTAGACAGCAAGAGTCCAAGGTCAGGCTTCAAATAATCCACGAGTGACAGTGCAGTCTGCCAACAGACGGCCATGATGCATGTACCGTATACATTCTTCGATGTATGTACCGTATGCATAATTCGCACCGGCAGCCGGTAGAAGGAAGGCCTGAGAAAGGAAGGTCTGGTTCTTATTAGCAGCAGAAACAGCAAAGAAGAGGCTCGGTCTGAAAAGAAATTGCAGAAGTTACACATGGTAGCAGGTTCAGTATGCAAGCAGACAGCCAAGGAGGCTCGGGATGGAGCTGGCTGGCTTTGACTGTCAGGTTTGCTTGACAAGGTACTGGTGAAAGTCTCTAAAACTCTTTTAAAACAGTTGGATAGTTGGAGTGTGTTTGGTGTCGGGCTAGCTAGGCGTGGCCCTGGTGTTGGTCCACATCTGGAATCAGGAGTCCTCAGTCAGTCTGGTTGTTGGCACCTTGGATTGTGCATGTACCAGTAGCGGTACTAGTAGTGGTACCACCGTACTGTAATGATACTAGTACCTTACCTACAGTCGTGATACTCCTTTGGGGTCTGGAATGTGACGTCATCATCATTCCCAGCAAAATGAGAAAAGTGAGATCCAACACTCCATGCCAAGCATGGTAAAAGGATTTCTTGTTTTCCTGCACCTTTCATCCTTTTACAACCATCACCATGGCCACCGCAACTCCAAGGACGCTGGATGAGTTTGTCTATCGCTTGATGGGAGAAGAGCCATACATGTCTCCACGGGATCGAGTTCGGCAGCGTCGGAGGGAACGACATCCCTTTGAACGAGATCCCAAGACGTGGTATCAACCAGTCTACCAAGCGCGCTTTCACCTAGCACGAAGAGCCACCAGAGCAGCAGTGGCATCTCCTGCTACCAAGCCTCTTTCGAATGATACCATCAAATCTATTTTCTGTCGAGAAGAAGTCTTGTCCTATTTGTCGCCGCAAGGCATCATTTCGCTCTGGCAAAGTTGCAAAGCATGTCAAATACCCACACTCAAGCGGCGAAAGGACATGATGTTACAGAGTGTCTTTCAATATTTGCGCATTTCACTAGAAGCAGCCCAATTTGTACAAGATACCTATGAGGGCGGCTGGAATACCTTTTTACCCCGTTTGGTCTCCCTCTGTAACTATTTGGCACACAAGGTGTATGGGCCGTTGTTGGAACCGGATCTGGCCCATCGTGTCTATGTGGCGGAACAAGCATGTTTTTATGGCGTCAGAAGATCCAATCGATGTCGAATGGGGGCATTGGCAGCATACGAATCCAACCACCAGATTGAAAAGGCGCGGAGTGCGGGCCAGATCCGGTTTGGGTATGAGAGCGAAGACGAGGAAGAAGAACGGGAAGCAAACAATCCACAGCCACGACCACCCCAAGCCGTCCCATCCCTCCACGACCTCGTTCGGATTAATGCGAGACAAATTGCTTGGGGTCACCCCGAGTTTATCAATGGCTACGATCAAGTTGTTGCCGGTTGGTTAGAAGAGAATCGGCAATGGATGCAAGCTGAAGTATCCTCCGAGTTGCAAGCTGGTAGAAAGATTTTCAACAACCAGTGTTCCAAAATAACATTAAAAACAAACGAGGACAAGGGTGGATCAGAGGAGGAACCCGCCAAAAAGAAACGGGCTACTGCTGCTTCGGGTCCTCTACAATATCTGGCAGAAAATGAAAACGTCCGACGTCGTCTCGTGGATGGCTTGCACCCGGCCATTTGGTTATCCTATGATGATGGCCATCGGGCAGAACTTTTGGAAACGCATGTCACCGTAGGACCCGAGCTGCAACAGATCATTGGGACTGTCTCGACGCATCACGAGTTTTCGCAGGATGAACAACCGGGCAGGACGAAGGCAACCTTTGAGACTTGCTTCTTTTCGGATGCAACGAGGGGTACTGATTTTCCCGGTGGCATTGTAGGATACTTGATTGGAAGCCCATGTTACCCAGAATCATGGTCCGACCGCACGGTGACCATGGGCATGTGTATCTGGTGCATGCGGCACCGCATTGCGCCCTTTGACAATCCGTCCATCGACTGGGAGCGCCTCATTGACGCTGTGGTAGACTCGGAAGCTAGCAATCGATTCTCCGTTTTCGGAGAGCCTGGTTTCTACAAGGAAGCCTTGAAAGCGGAGGTCTTTGGACCTGCAACTCCTTCCGAGTTCCTGGCAAGACTTCTATAGATTTAGATGATACCATAGATCTGTTCTTAATCAAATGCTAGTAGTTGCGGTATTGACTGGCTGACCAGCCTCTTGCTCGTCAATTCTACAGCGGCCGCCTGATCGCGGTATCTCGGTCATCACCCATCCAACTCTAGGGTTGGTTTTGGGCATTGGCTTTAACAGTCGCTTGCCCGATACCGTGACGCCCCTAACTCCTGGCCACTGTGTGGTACGGTAGGCACCCGCTGGTCTCAAGATCCATCCTCACTCGGGCTATCATTCCAAAGGTTTCTGCTCTTGACTGCTGACCGTAAACACCAACAACCAACTACGTGTACAGAGAAGCCAATCCAGTACCGTAGTGTCTCTGAGGTGGCAGGTGGCATCACCATAGTTGTTGCCCAAGCAGGCAATCCGCAGTTCCACTGGCCAACCTTCTAAATCTGATCGGAAATCTATCCTTCTAAAGCGAATGTGCTGCCGCTGGAGCAGGCCATCCTGATCCCAGTCGCGCATATCTTGAGAACTGTTTGGTGGATGTGTTGGCAGTTGGCAGTTGGCAGTTGGCAATCCAAAACCGGCGGGTGGTGTACTAGCTAGTAGATATTCGAAAGGACTCGACTTCACGACATTGGTTACTACTAGTATCTATGTTCTACATTCTACACTCTTCTCCGAGTACCCTCAGCACCTTCGGGGAAGTCTCCTTAGATCTTGACGTACCATAATCGTATGCTGCACATACACTCCTTGCTTGATCCCAATCGCGAGACTTACTGAGAACTCCAATTCGATTCTGGTGATTGGTGGATGTGTTGACAATCCAAAACCGCGCCTGTAGTGGCCAAGTGGCCCCTTGCGCGGAATTGTTCTTGTACAAGTACCATACTAGCTACCATACGACTGTACTAGTAGTACTCTAAACTCTACTGCCTTTTTAAAAAAAGACCAAGCCTGAGCACTGCAAGCTGTACTGCTGCAGCATCTCACTTGCTTCCGCACCAGACACCTGCCTGGCCAGGCTGGCCAGGCAGTTATTTCAGCGAACTTCAAATACGTGTATGACATACTAGTATGACCACTTTCACTATGACTTTTCGATGGTCAAGCCACACTCATGGAAAAATGACTATTAAAAATTGTTACAGTATTGCTTTGTTTGTTGCCTTTTTGCTTTGACTCCCAGATTTCACGTGGCAAGTTTGGAACTGAAACTTCTGCAACTATGGATTAAAACAATTTTCCTTCAAGACTTAGTGGTCAAAACCAAAGAACCCAAGTACAGAGACAGGTGAACGAAGAGTGTCAACAGATCGCAACAACCTGGCTGTCAATAGTCAGATTTATTAAAGTCTGAAAGATCACTGAAGAGAACGGGAACCAGAGTTGGGTTCTTTCCGCTTGCGGGACGAGTATGTAGTGTTAGATTTACCGATATAACATAAGTCTTTTGAATCACCCGTTATAATCTTAGGTTCACTTACACAAGACATCCAAAGAGTGCCAGCTCAGTCCCCAATCAGAGTATCTACAACAGGTCATTCTGGTGTTCATAATTTTAGTTCGCGTTTCCTTGTTGGACTTCGTAGGAAGGGCTGGCTGGGTACCAACGATAGCCAAACTTAGCAGCACGACGAGCGACGGAAGTCATTACTGCATTGCTGTACGAGTATTCAGCAAAAGTGAGTTTCAACAACCGGAACCGCACTTTCACGCCTTCAAGTTGCAAACATCGGTGTGCGAGCACGGAGATCAATGGATCACATCCCATCAAAGTGCCTCGAGTTTTGAACTGGCTCACAAATCTGAGTTTGGTAGTAATTTTGGAAGCAATCGCTCGAAGCACACCAAGCACACAAACGTACTCATTGACAAGTCATAAACCATGACCGCCACCATGATGAACCACAACAACTTCGCTTTGGATACCATCCAAGATGACGAAGAATCCTCCGTGGGCAGCAATCAGGATGTGACCTCCAGCCACGGAACCGACCGAGAGGCGTCGTCCAGTCGCGACGAAGAGGCCGAGATCAGGAAACAGTCCGCCAAGGAGACGAAGCGTGTTTCCATGTGGCGCGCCTTTGTCGCCATGGCCCTCCTTGCGACCGCTGTGGCTGTCACGGCCACGACGTATAGTCTTTTGGTCAAGGACGAAGATGAAGCATTTCGTACTGTGGTAAGCTTCAACTCGAGTGCACTATTGCCCTGCGGAACCTGCCTCAGTGCATCCATACCTGACATTGTTTCTCCCTCTGCCCCTCGTTCTTCAGTACGCTCAGTTCGCTCGTTCGTTGGCCGACTCGGCCATTCTACAGCAGAAGGATCTTCGTGATGGTTACAGGGGCCTCGCTGACCAGATGGCTCTCAACGCTGAGATTGCGGGCGACGACGGGGTTGCCAAGTGGCCCTTCTTTTGGCCTCCGGTAAGTGAAGCAATGTCTCTTGTTTGGTCTGGTCCGGCCTGACCTGACCTGACCTGACCTGTTGCTGCCTGGATTGTGCCATCCTCACACTCTTCATTGCTTGCCACAGAAATTTGAGCATACGGCCAAGGACTTCTTCAGGGTCTCCAATTGCGAGTGGGTCGCTGTCAACAACGTCGTCGAGGAGAAGGATCGCGACGCCTTTGTGAACTTCACCACCGCTCATTACCGCGACGCCTACAAGGAATCCCACATGATTCGTCATGGCAACTTGGACAGGCTTGATGACAATGTCACCAAGTATTTGGGGGTCGTCACAAAGTTCGAGCGCGTCAACGGTACGGGAGCGTTTGTGGAAGACGACAAGCCGCGCGAGCGCATGTTGATTCGTACCATGCAGTCGCCTCCTCCTGGTGACTATTCCCGTAGTCCAAACTGGAACCAAAACAGCAGCACCTTCACACAAAGGTACTTGGGCATTATGCAAGACTTCCCCAACGAGACCCTCTTCATGGGTGCAAGCAGAGTCAGCTTCCTTACTGTCTCTGAAGATGAACATCAAGGGTATCACAGTGATGACGGCGCCGAACACCCTCACACGTACTCTGTATATCCCATTCATCGAGGCGTTGGTGACACCAATTCTGAACTTGTTGGATGGAGCATTTCTGCTCTCGCTTGGGATGCCCCTCTACGCAACCTGTTGCCTGACAACGTGAGAGGATTGCTCGCAGTGGTTAGCAACACTTGCAACACCACGTTCTCCTACTTCATTGAAGGCAAAGATGCTTGGTTCATTGGCTATGAAGATGCTCATGAACCAAAGTACAACGACATGTCACTCTTCGTGGACTTGGCATTGGACGCCACTCCTGCCCTCTACGACAGGCCCGGACACTGCATGTACTCGATGAAGATCTATCCAACGCAAGAATTCGAGGACAATTACAAGACAAGCACCCCCATCATCTTCGCAACTGTCGTTGCTTCCACCTTCTTGCTTGTCTTCATTGTGTTCCTCATGTATGATCGAATGGTACTCAAGAGAAACGAGAAGATGATCTCCAACGCAGCCAAGTCTAATGCGATTGTCACTTCCATTGTCCCTGATCATCTTCGAGACCGGCTCTTGAATCGTCAAGACGATGACAAGGATATGAATGGGAAGAAGAATGGGACCCTCAAGACTTTCCTGAACAATGAACATGGTGGGCAAGGCATGGAGCGTGGTCAGTCTCCACCTCTTGCCGACCTCTTCCTGGACACCACCGTGTGCTTTGCAGACATTGTTGGATTCACTGCGTGGAGTAGCGCGAGAGACCCATCCCAAGTCTTCACCCTTCTCGAGACTTTGTACCAAAGGTTCGACTACATAGCTAAGAAACGGAGAGTGTTCAAAGGTTCGTGAATGTTCCCTTCCTTCCTTTCCTCCTTTTTCTTTTCCCTTCCGCCTGACCTTTCTTATTCCTACGTTCCCTACAGTGGAAACAGTTGGAGACTGCTACGTTGCTGGTAAGTACAGTAATTACGTGAAACAACGGCACCATGATGGCGGCATGCTGCTCACCTACCTGGTATCGCCTTCTCCTATCCCAGTTTGCGGTTTGCCAGAACCGAGAAGAGACCATAGTGCAGCCATGTGCAGGTTTGGAAGAGATATCCTTGCTGCCATGAACGTTTTGACAAACGAGCTTGTTGTCACCCTCGGTCCTGATACGGGAGACCTCATGCTTCGTATCGGACTTCATAGTGGTCCAGTGACGGCTGGTGTTCTTCGGTATGTGGCAAACAACTGAAGCTTGTCGAGGCAGTTTTGAGTGTGTTCGATTGATTCTAAGGCTTGAAACGTTTCTCTTTCAATATCAGTGGTGAACGTGCTAGGTTCCAGCTCTTCGGTGATGTAAGTGCTTGATTTGTTTGCGAGCCTCTCAACTTGGAAGCTTGAGTGGTCTAATAGCTATTCATGTTTGTCCATTCTGCCTGCACAGACTATGAACACGGCCGCTAGAATGGAATCGGCAAGCAAGCCAAACAGGATCCAATGCTCCAAGGAGACAGCGGAGCACCTCATCAAGTTGGGAAAGAACGCTTGGATCCAAAAGAGATCCGAGCCCATCGTCCTCAAAGGAAAAGGCGAAAGAGAAGGATACTGGGTTACCGTACGAGGTGACAGGGCTGGAAGTGTTGCGTCTGGTGTATCCGCCGGCAGCGAAGTCAACCCCCCATCGGTTGACGGAAGCAATAGCACTGGCAATATCAATCGCTACAGCAGCAGCATGTTTGTTGCTGAAACCAAGGATCGTACGGGGCGCCTCATCGATTGGAATTGTGAGGTGCTGACTAAGCTACTGAAGGAAGTCCGAGCTCGTCAGATGATGACAGCAGGATCTGTGACCAAGGCAGATAAAGTGAACGAGTCCACCTTGAAGTCTGAAATTGGTGGCACACCTCTGGAGGAAGTCCGAGAGATTGTGACAATGCCGCACTTCGATGCTTCCGGCGAAAACAAGGAGATTGATGCTGAAGATGTTCAGCTGCCTGAGACTGTCAAGGATCAGTTGAGATCATACATCGCCATCATCGCAGGATTGTATCGTGACAATCCATTCCATAACGTAAGCTTCCAGCTGTCTGTGAGAGCTGCCTAGACTCACTCGGTCAAACTCACCGGTTTCCTCCTCGATCACACCACCCAACAGTTTGAGCATGCTAGCCATGTCATGATGGTAAGACAGTGCTTGCAATGTTCCTGCTTGCCCACAGCCCCCGAACATCGCAGCCCCTCACATCTGCTTCATATTCCCTTTCCCACACATAATAGAGTGTTAACAAACTCATGAGCCGCATTGTACCTCGATCTGACTTTGACGGCAAGACTGCCCATGACCACACTTTTGGCATCAGCGCGGATCCCTTGACAAGGTTTGCCTGTGCTTTCAGTGCCTTGATCCACGACGTTGGTGAGTTACTGGAACTTTATTGATTTACCTTCCTTATTTAGGTTTGCTAACGGTTGATTTCAAATTCTCCACCCTCAGATCACTCTGGAGTTTCCAATGCCCAACTGGTGAAGGACCAAGTGCCACTTGCCAAGAAGTACAAGGATCGCAGTGTTGCTGAACAGGTAAGGGGAACTAGGTCTAGCTAGATGGGTTATCGAAGACTGATCTCTGTTTGTCACTCACCAATGAATCGCAACTGTTGCTTGAATTGGTTGCATAGAACTCTTTGGATCTTGCCTGGGAGCTTCTCATGGGAGCTGACTACAAGGATCTCAGGGCTTGCATGTTCCAAACACAGTCAGACCTGGTCCGATTCCGAAGGCTGGTGGTGAATGCTGTCATGTCCACTGATATTGTTGATAAAGATCTCAAAGCTTTGAGAAACAACCGCTGGGAGAAGGCTTTCAAGAAGGATGAAACAGGAAGCACATCAAGCTTGAGCAGCAGCAACAGTGACAGTGAAAAGGACAGAATTGACAGAAAAGCTACCATTGTTGTAAGTAGGAAAGATCCGGAACTGCATCAGAAGGGCAAGCCTCCCATGATGTGTTTCTCACAAGAGTAATCTCCTGTTTGTTTGCTTGCTTGCTTGCTTGCAGATTGAGCATATCATCCAGGCCTCCGATATTTCCCACACAATGCAGCACTGGATTGTCTACAGGAAGTGGAACCAAAAGCTCTTTGATGAGCTCTACGTTGCCTATCTCAATGGGAAAATGGACAAGGACCCTGCAACTTTCTGGTATCAGGGTGAGATTGGCTTCTTTGACTTCTACATCATCCCACTGACCCGAAAGTTGAAGGAGTGCGGCGTCTTCGGTGTGTCTAGTGAAGAGTACTTGCAGTATGCCATCTCCAACAGAAAGGAATGGGAAGCACGAGGCGAAGCTTGTGTTGCAATCTTGGCCGAGGAAGCCATGAAGAAGTATGGGGTCAAGGGCATGCCCCAGTTGCAGCACGAGTCTCATGACTCGCTGGAAGAGCAAGCCCCTCCAGTGGATATTATAAGGAACGTTGTTGCCTGTTAAAGGGTTGCAGGTCTTGAGGGCACGAACAAAAAAGAGAAACAGAGTTATCCGTCCAGTCATGCAGAAATGGGTTGGTCGTCGGTTCCGGATTTTCAGTCTCCGCATTCATCATCTTCATTTGAGTTCCATTCTCCATTGCCACCTCCCAACAGAGCCGACTGACCTGGAAGCATGACTGGTGTTTTTGATCAGGAATATTACACAGTTTACTACATAAGTTTACATACATAATGCATTTTGCAAGAGTTACCTATCTGGTCTGTAAAAGGCCACGTTTGAGCTCAATTGCTTGCCAGCTAGCTAGGAGTACCTTTATCGTCATCCCAGCCACCATTGCTTCTTGGATTCTTGGATGCTGTTGTGTGGATACGATGCTTGGCGCTCAGCTCCTTGGCTCTGGCGGCTTACCGGGCTGGCTTCTTGCTCAAACATCTCGTACTAATGTAAGTGTTTGCTACCATGTAACGCTTTGGTAGCCCCAATGAGGCAGATACTGGACAGAAGAAGAACGGGACCCTCAAGACTTTCCTGAACAATGCACATACCATGGTGGGCAAGGCATGGAACATGGTCAGTCTCCACCTCTTGTCGACCTCTTCCTGGACACCACTGTGTGCTTTGCAGACATTGTTGGATTGATTCACTGCGTGGAGTAGCGCGAGAGACCCATCCCAAGTCTTCACCCTTCTCGAAACTTTGTACCAAAAAGGTTTGATTACATAGCCAAGAAAAGAAGAGTACATAATGCATTTTGCAAGAGTTAGCTACCTGCCTATCAGGCTGTAAAGGCTACTCTATTCCTAGCTAGGAGTACCTTTTACGTCAGGTCACCATTGTTTGGATTCTTCGCATGCTGGTGTGTTGGTTCGATGGCCTTGGGGGCTTCTTGCCCAAACAACTCGTATGCGTTTGCTATCGACCGCTTCGATACTGTACCGGAAGATACCGGACCTCCCTTGGTCCTGCCTTGGTCCACGTCAAATTTGTGGAGCCGTTTCGCCTGGCTCGGGTCATTGCTGTGCCATTTCAAAGTCATCATTCCCTTTGGTGAAGATCTTTGCCGCACCTCCAGATCTTCAATCACTTCTTTCGACTTGGCCGTTGTCTCTTCTTCTTCCTCTAATAGCTGAAAGTGAAAAAAGACAAGCAAGCAAGATGAAATCCACCATCCTCGCTTCCGCTCTTGTTGCCCTTGCGCTAGTAGTCGACTCTGTGAGTGCCGATTATTATAACGTTTCGTCAAAAGAGAGCAGCAGCGGTTTGTTTGGCGGCTACCCGACGCAGACAAATTCCATCACGTTGGTGACGGAGTACGGTGAAATCCCCAACTATGCAAGCTTTACGACCCTCATGGAGAGCAAGCTGAATCGGAAATTGCAGACATCCGGACAAGGCTTTGGCAATGATCCCACTGCCTGTTCGGCCGATGGTGTCCGCTTTACGTGCATTGCTCCCAGTGAGTACAGTGCCGGTGGCAATGAAACCAAGATTACCAATACCATTACGTGCGACTTGAACGATCAAATTGGCACCAACTTTCAAGAATCGGACAATTGTATTTGCAATTCGCTGCTGGAACAGGAGATTGTCAACAGTACCGCGACACGCACAAGGAACTGTGCCTGTGGTGTCTGTCCCCAGGGATCGGCGCAAGCCATTAGTTTGGATTGCAGTGTCGTCGAAGACGATCCTTACGTCGCTGGAACTTGTAAAACCATTGATTGCGATGGAAGGTGCAATGGAGGAAATATTGTCGTGAATGTGCCCACGGCAGCTCCTGTGGCCGAAGGTGGCGACAACGAATCATCGTGGGCTGTGATTGGAACGAGCACTGGCACAACAGCTATCTTGGCTGTCGTGTCGGCTGTTTGGATGATGATGATGGTCTAATTGATGGATTTCAATTCAATTGTTTAGTTATACGCAACAATACATTATGAATGTCCAAAATATTCCTCAAGCAAAGTATAAGGATGGTCAAAGAGAGTTTTGTGCTCAGGAGTGGAAAGGTTGGTTGATCCACCTGTCAGTCCAGGAGACCAGGTTTCTTGGACTAGAAGACAAGGACTGTATCTGAGGCGTACCGTCCCCGTTGGAATAGCCCTTGGGGGCGGTTTTTCTGTTTATGTGTAAATTGCATTTTAAAATTGAGGTAACCATTTATTAGTAAAAGCATGGAAGCCAACAGGCAATCCTCTGGTCCCTTTGTTTTCTTTGGTGGCAGTTATTTGGAAGAATGGTACAGTGCCAAGTTTGTCGTTGTGCTAGGTTAGTTTGGGAATCAGTACACGTGTACCCTACATCATCGGGATACCTGGAACAAATGTATCAGCCTCTAAGGGTCAGAGCAGCCGACAATTCTTACGCTTCAGATCATTCCAACAGCCACCTCGACACACAGCTATTTCTAAAGGTGCTATGGTAGCTCGCAAACGATCGATCTGTGGTACCGGTACGAAAGCAGACAGACAGAAACGCACACTGGATGTGCTCATCCGTCTTTCTCTACCGTACAGAACTGTGCATCTATTGTCTTAACATGAATGAATTCTGGATCCACTCCTTGCGGTCCCTCAGGTGGCTCTTTTACCATTCCGTATGAGTCGAGTCATCGATAATATTGAAACCGACCACGGAAACCATTCAGCCCGTAGTACGGTATGAAGGACCATCGTAGCAAAGTGACCGCCTGCGAGAGCCCTTTCCGACTTTTTTTCATTCTAATGATTCAAAAAAGTCGTCCAGGTCTTCGTCGTCGTCATCGCCGTTTTCTTTGGTAGCACCAGTTTCAGTATCCTTGGATCCATCTGGAGGAGGAGCTTTTCTAATGTTTGCATTGGAACTGCTAGTGTCACCAGTTTTCGGTGGCCCATACGACGATAGTAACTGTTGCTGTTGTTGATAATTGGAGTCTGCTGGCTGCACCTGAAGAATCGAACCACAAGGAAGTTCCGCTCCATTCATCTGATGGACAATAGTTTATGAGGATGATATCCGGCACGACAGGGCAGCCATTTATTTTGCAGAACATAAACAACACGCGAACAACAAACATCACACAAAACCACATCACACATCACGAAAGCTAAAATCAACACGTCCCCTCCAATCCAACCAGTCCGCACGCACGCACCTGTGAACAAACCATTTGCAAGAGTTCCTCATTTTTGTTTTTGGATGACTGAAATACCACCAAGGCATCCCCCTTGAGGGTTCCCGTTTGTTTGTCTCTATAATAGTGCACTTTGCGTATGGTTCCATACGAGGAGAATAGATTTTGAATGGTCGTTTCAGGTACCGACCCATTGGTGGGTATTCCCGTCAAGTAGATCGTCGCAGTTTGTTGTAAATGATTGTGGGTAGTCTTTTGCAATTCCCGTTCGACCCGGTTTCGTTTGGCCGTTCCAATGCCCGCCTGCGTAGTACTAGTATTTGTTGTGGTGGTCGAGTGCAATCTCTTTTTCCGCGCTTCCAATGCCAATCGGTATTGTTCTTGGACTTGGGATTCCCATTGTTGTGCTTGATTGATTTGTTTTAATTGCTGTTGCAACTGTTTTTGACTGCGTTTCGTGACGTACTCGAGATTTTTGATCCAGAATTGTTTTTTGCGTTGTGCTTCTTGTTCCAAACAAACTTGTCGCTTTTGTCGGTACTCATTGTTGCTGTTCACTAGTAGAGGACAGCCGGAAGTAGAAGTAGTCGTTAGAGGAGCAGCAGCACCATGCGCTTGTTCCAGTCTCCGAAACTTCTCCAAAATGGCGTTGGCTCGGGCACGGCCTTCTTCCACTTTCGTCATCGTTGGATCCTTGCTGTTGTCGTTGGTGTCGTTGGTAGGAGCTGCCTCTGGAGTACTACCACTAACATTAACATTTGTCGTAGTAGTAGTAGTTGGAGCTGGAAGGGTCGTCGCACTGGTCGGCCATTGCGGCGGCGGCACTACTGAGTCCACAAGACGCTCGTATGTGTCTCCCTTGATGAATCCAGATTCATTTGGGACTCGTTCCTCGGATAGCACGGGTGGTGCTCTTGATGGTGCTCTTGATGGTGGTGCTGGTTGTTGTTGTTGTTGCTCTTCGTGGTAACTGAGGCATTGTTGCATCAGCGATTGCAGCAAATCACCGCCCGCCATTCCATCGCCTCCTATTGCTCCCCCATCTCCATGGTGACCATACGAGGAGTAGCCAAGGCCAAGATACGCTTCGTCCGACATGGTCGACTGTCAAAGAGAAAGATGAGGAAGCAAGGTGAGGATGCGGAAGACTTTTTGAATTTTCTTTTCGACATTTTTAGAAAATAAAAATAGAAAATTAGAGAAATGGAAAAAGCACCCAATGATGAAGAAAAAGCATGCACTGCAAAAGAAGTAAGTGACAAATGACAATCACCACCACCACCATGACAACAACTACGCCATCAAACTACTACAAGTTTTGGGAACCTCACTCGAGCAGCATTGATTTCTGCGAGACCAACTATCTGCATTTTGACACGATTGTGGAATTCCACAACACGTGGAGCAGTCTGTTGGGAATCGCCTCGCTGGGGTTGATTGGAGCGATTTGGAACAATCCAACCGGCGAAAAGCGCACCGTCTTGGCCTATTCTATTTTAGGGTTGATCGGTGTCGGATCGACCGGATTGCATCTGTCGTTGCATTGGATCTTTCAAGCCAGCGATGAATTGCCCATGCTCTACATGAACAATTGCATTAGTTTCATGGTATTCGAGGTCAGGGCTCCCTTTGGCAAACCCAAGTATCCGTGGTTGCCCTACTTGTTTGCTCTCATTACGATCATTCACACGGTCGTCTATTATCGATTTCGAGATCGATACGTCATTTTCTTTTTTGTCTATGCCGGAGGCGTCTTTACACTGCTCTATCAAGGATACAATCTGATTTTGGGACGCGACAAACACAAACGAGGACATGTCGCTTGGTATTTTGCCAGTCGCTCCGTGGTGACATTTTGTCTGGTGGCATTTCCCGTTTGGGTTTTGGACATGCATTATTGCAACTTCATTTTGGATATTGTTGACAATAATAATACTGCCATGGATGGACTACTACTACCACTTCTCAGAGGCATTACTCCTCATGTACTATGGCACTTTTGTGCCGCCTTTGGAACCTATTGTGCCATTGCCTGTGTGGTCACTTGTCGCATGGAAGAACTCAAAATACCATTCCAATTGGAATATTTCATGGGGATTGTACCCATCACGGTACGGATCAATAATGATCATGACAACAATCCGCAAAAGAAACAACTATAACAATGTTGTGGGTACCGTATGCCAAAGCAACCCTTGCTAGGAACTACCCGGGTAGCTATAAAACGGCAAATGTTGCCGTACGGTACCTGGTGGGAAGCAGACACTCAAACAACAACAAATTTTGCTACCAAAACACACGAACTTGGCCCATATGTATATAATTTGAAAGCAACAAAAAGCGTCATAACTGATTCTTCTTCAGAGGCTGCAGGCGCAAGGGACAGAAACGCTTCTCCTACGTACTAGCTAGGCTGGCTGGTAACGGGCGGTACATTTGGTGGTGGAGCTTTGAGTTTTGGTTAGTAATACAAACTAGTATAGGATATGATGTTTCTTGGAAAGGATCTCTGAAGCAGGAGAGCATATCTCAAGGGCGTGGACAGGGCCAGATGTTTACAGCTCTCACTGGTATTGCTGTGACCACTGTGTGCATTCTGCCTTGGAGTACTTGGATTGCTAGCTAGCTAGTAGGATCCCTGCTTCACAGGCAGGTATTGCCATACTCGAGTGATCATGAAGGCCCACCACAGGAAGACCAACCCAACCCAGTCCACACTAGCTAGATAACTACCAGTACCGATCCAGCACGATTGCCCACAGACCAGACCCAGATCTAAGTATCTTTCGTGTGAATACACAGGACATTGTCTTTGTATACCGGAGCTAGTAGGTACCTTTTCGATCTTTCAAAAGATGGCTCGAAGTTCGAGATGGGCATCCCAACCAGCCCAACAAACTCGCAAGGAACCATAACCAGTCATGCGAAAAGAGGACATAATAGTCTCCCAACCAGCTCTGGATGGTTACAGCTTCCACCTCGCTCCAAGTAAGTGACGAAGGAAAGCGAGAGAATAAGCAATTTGGCCGTTAATCTTTGGGCCCAATGCAATGAACTGCAATGACTCGTCATCGCTCCCTACCAAAAAGCTCGATGCCTGGTTTGACCATCTCACACAATTGGCTGTTGTGAGGCTTTAGAAGAGGCAAACAAAAACCCAGCATTGTTGCCCACTTTTCTCTACTAGTAGCAAGGTGGAGTCGAATCGAAAAAGTCATGCAAGCCGTACTGAGATGAGATTGTAAAAAGTAGAAGAGGAAAGCCAGTTCACAACAACATTGAATTATTAAGATAACTTGGGTATTGATCAACTGTGACAACCTCCCACCACCAAGCAAGGACAGCAACTCTGATCCACGAGAATAGAATAGAATCCCTGCCTCAATAATACCCATCAGCATGCCTCGGCCGCGACCCTCTACAGAATCCTCGTGCACACTGGTCAGGAGACGACGACCCACTATGCTCAACCCCGCAGTTTTGGTAGTCTCCGTGATATTCTTGCTGCAACAAGCACTGCCGGCCACGGCGAAGAAACTGCGCGGTCAACTGTCGCCTTCCGAATTGGCCAAGAGAGACCGCGAACGACGCAAGGCAGAACAATGTCTACCCGCCAACCAAGAGTTTTGCGGCAATGGCCAAGGGACGTTGGTGTGCGAATTCAACGACGACACGAGCTATTATGCCTCTCGCTGCGTCAAAAAGAACAGCTATGCCAAGCATGTTGCATTGCACGAAAAGAACTACTGTGGCGCCTGTCACAAGTGCTTCCAGAATGCCAATGAACTCCAAAGTGCCGTACACAAATACGTGGTCAATGGCACGGCCGAAACATCCATTGCCAAAATCTACGGGTGGCCCATTGGCAGTTGGTGCGTCGATCAGGTGACGGACTTTTCCCAACTCTTTGCCGGATTGCACGACTTTAACGAAGACATTGGTGGTTGGGATGTTCGACGAGCCACGACAATGGCTGGAATGTTTATGAACGCCTTTCAGTTTGATCAAGATTTGAGTGATTGGAATACGGAACGAGTCAAGGACATGTCCTTGATGTTTGATCGAGCGTACAGCTTTTCTGGATCTGGATTGAGCCAATGGAACACGTCGCGCGTGTCCACTCTGCAACGCACCTTTCGGATTGCCAAAAAGTTCTCGGAGGATTTGAGTGCATGGAACACTGCTCAAGTGACGGACATGTCGCTGTTGTTTTATCGAGCGGAATCCTTTGACCAACCCATGGCAAATTGGAATGTCGAACAGGTTACCGACTTGAGTTATTCCTTTGCATTTGCTAGGGAGTTTAATCAATCCTTGGCCAGCTGGAGGACGACCTCGGCAACCACTACACGAGGAATGTTCCAGTCGGCAGACTCGTTCGCTCAGGATTTGAGAGGATGGGATGTGGCGCGGGTTACTGACACATCATACATGTTTTCCAATGCCCTAGCATTTGACCAAAACATAAATTCCGAAGAGCTGTTGCAGACTTGGAACATGAGCCTTGTGCGACACCGAGACCAAATGTTTGGAGTCATTGCGCCCTCCTTCAACCAGACATCTACCCATCCGACCGGTAGCGAGCAAGTGCTGACAGCACAAGCTACAAGTGCAATGGGACGACGTGATCAGTCCATTTCTTCCTTCTAGCTAAGGTAACAACCTGGAAAGCTTGGAGAGACATTGGCGGGCTCTGCTTCATACCATACCAAACCTACGCCACGCCCAGTTTTGCAGCCATGCATCTATCGTTACATAATATCGACCTCTACAAACATCATAGTGGAACCAACAGAAACCAAACCTCCTTAATAAACTACCGTTTCATGTTAGTTTTGGCTGATCCGGGTGCAATCAAGTTGAGAGGTACGGTAGCCGGTGTACCGTAGCCCGGCCAAATCTCCCTGTCTTGATTGCTACTAGTGCTAGCTAGCTAGCCACCGGGTAGCCAAAAGAGGTGCCGAGAACAACAAAGATCATAATTGCTATCTGGTACTACCCACTAGGCGCCTTGATGGTCAGGGTAGGGAGCTAGTGTTTGCTGGGTTGGTACCTGTTTGCTTTCTTCCAGCCCAGTCCATCTCCAATTTTCCTAAAACCTCTGCCGCGACTACGAAACGACTTTGATGGGATAAGAAATAAATGCAATAAGTATCCGCGACTAAAATGCCCAGAATCTGCTCTTGGGTGTTGCAGATCCAAGTATGCATACACTCCTCACTCACACTTAAGATTTAAAGATAAGTGGGTTTAAGATACCGAGTACTCAACTTTTCAGAAATGTTTAGATAACCCGGACACTCAGATTTCCCGAACCAGGAAGATAAGCTACGACTACTGAAGTCTCAATCCTTAAGCTAATACTAATACTATGTGGGGAATGAATGCAGCTAGTACCCATTATCTTCCACATCATCATCTACATCCCAGTACTCCATATCCTAATCTTAGGGTGCCTCTCTACCACAACAACATCTTTGGTTGCATCAATTTTAGCTTTGCACTTTTGCCTTCTTGAGCTTTGGTGGTGGCTCCTCACTGTCTGAGGGCATGGTGAGTAGTAGGGGTATGTGACAATAGCTGCTAGTGGCAATAAGATATGAAGGATACTGAGAGTGGGCTGCTTGTAAGATAATGGCTAAGTGTTGCTGTGGCTGAATCGGTTAAGATACCTCCAGTACTAGACTAAGAATATAGTTTGCTTATTGATGAGGTAGGAGTGTAGGTCCTGGAGACGACGAGCGGTAGAGATGGACCAGGGGCAGGTACGGTAGGCTGGTAGTGCACTACGCTAAAAGCTAGTGTAAAGATCTTTCGAGTGTTTTGAGTTTGAGAGAATGAAAGTTATGAGAGGATTAGAAAGCTATGAAAACTAATCAACGAGAGAGATCCACAATCAAAGGATCGTAGATCTGAACTCCCGCGGGAGACTGTAAAGTGTGATAGAGTAGGTTGCGGTAGCAATCCTACTCACTCCACGATCCAAAAACGGAACGCGTGGAAGATTCGTCTAGCATTTATCTAGTAGCGTGGGATGTCTCCACGCCAGCTAAATATCTAGCGCGATGTTTCACCATCGACCTAGTATGACTAGCGGTCATGAGAACCCTGTCTCAATGACTATTCACGAAAGACTCAGTCATGAGTCGAACTCAAACCCTATCTAGGATCGAGTCGCGAATAAGGCTAAGAGCCGTGTATTGCATTCGCCCCCTGACAAGGGTCACGGAAGGCACGACATCAGTCGGACAAGGAGAACATATGAATTATAGTGCG